GCTCTCTACAACTCCCCGAAAGGTTGTAGCGAGGTGGGGTCCGTCTGTTCGCCCAGGTAACAAGCGATGGGGCAAGATGGAACAGCCTCAAGTTATTCCAGGGAATGGTTAGGTTGGATATTGGGAAAAATTTCTGTAAATTACTGGAACAGGCTGCCCAGGGAAGTGATTGAAACAGCATCCCCGGAGGTGTTTAAAAGCCATGTAGATGTGGTGCTTGAGGACGCGCTTTAGCAGTGGACTTGGTAGAGATAGGTTAATGGTTGGACTTAATTTTAAAGGTCTTTTCCAACCTAAACTATTCTGTCGTCCTTCCGTTGTTTTCCTCCCTGTTCTTCTCACCTGAGCATAATTTTACACCGTGTGTACCAGCAGAGTGGTGCTGCCTGTTGGCAGAGGTACGTGCCCAAAGGACTGGCTAAAAGTGTATTTGGAAGTTCTTTTTTTATTGAAAGATTTTAGCCGCTTGTAATGAAAAGTCAGTTGTGCAGGTTTGGCTGCTTTTTTAAATTATAATTTATTTCAAAGCTCCTTGGTGTTTTTGGACAAGCTCTGATACTGTGATAGCCTCCTGCATAAAGCAGTTGGGTTTCTTTGGTAGCTTTTTAGGGCTAGTCTTACAAGCAGAAGACAAACCTGACAGTAGGTGGAATACAGTAAAGCAAACTGCAGTGTGCTGCTGGCTTTAAATGTCTAAAGCTTTCAGTGCTGTGTTTTTCTGATGCTGTAAGTAAAGATCTCTGAATGGATAAATAGTTCTGAAGAGCAGGCAGCCTGAGTGAATGAAAAATGCCTTTGAAAAAGGTCTGTGGAGAATAATTCCATGGAAAACATCAGGACTCCTACCATCTTCTCAATCATGTGGTTGTGAAGCTTTCCTTAAACTTTCCTGTTGCTTTTCAACGTTGAAATTTGGGTTTAATGCTGACAATTGGTTAAGTGCAGGCTGACTGAAATAGTGACATGGTGCCTGCTGATTCTAGCAGGTTTCTCTTTTTTAGCCAGAGAGGTGTGTGTGAGGGGGAAGATCTGTCAAAATTCCTTCAGATTTGTTGAAGTGCTTTATTTTGAATCAAAATAAATATTGAATTGGAAGGTTTTTTTTGTAACTTGATTTTAGTTCAAGTTACAATTTTAGTAACTTGAACATTTTTTTTTTTTTTTTAAAAAAAGAGTAGTTTTGAATTATAAGTTTTAAGCATTTAATTTTAGAATGTTAAAGAGAAAAGTTGTTTGAGTTGTATGATGTTTTTCCCAGAGAATGCAGTCGTGTCAGTGTTGCAGCAGTATCCTGCTCAGGTTCCTGCTGTCTCTGGCTTTGCATCCTCACCTGCACTGTGCCAGTTTTGGCTTCTGTAGTGCCACAGTGTGAAGCTGAATATGCCTATACAGTCTTTTCTTCCTCAGGTGCCTAGGACTGATGTCTTTGTTGCCTCATTTTAAAAGTTTCAGTGAATTTTCCATACTGCAAATGAATTTAAATATCAAGTACCAGTAGATATAAATTCTCAGTCTGTTACCTAATGCCTAGATACTTTAAAAGTTTTAAGTTCCTAGATTAAGCAAAGTGTATTTGTGGAGGAAATAAAGTTGTTTACTTGATTTTTGTGATGAGGAAGCCATGAATAACCAAGAGTTTTAAACAGTGCCTTCTCAAAAATCAGGTGGTAATGTTTGTCATGTACTTAACATGCTCAGTTTGCACGTAATTAGGCAGAGACAGTTGTAACTAATGCATGGCTGGGTGTTTTCTTTGTTTTTTTAGGCTTACAAAATTCAGCCTTGGACCCTACTTGTAACTTCTGATTTATTTTATTTTTTTAAACTTTATGTGCAGCAAAATACAGAAACTCTTCAGTACAAGCAGGGTGATTTCTGCTGAAAAAGATGAATCTGCCACTTCCAAAGACAGAGCCACTGAAGTTGCATCAAAGAGCCAGGAGGGTACAGCAGAAACACCAAGGCAGAAGCTGTTAAACATTATTGGTGATATGAAAGTAGAAGTGAGCTACAGGAAGAAACTCCAACAGTTAAAAGCACATGAGATGGAAAAGGAAGGCATGGGCAGTGAAGGTGCTGTGCCTCAGAGAACTACAAAAGACATCCAGAGGTAAAGTATAACAAACTTTTCTTAGCCTGTTTTCTCCTTTTTTAAAATTGTTTTTTTGATTTCATTTATCTGGGACAAAAAGTTTGAAAGACCAGTTCCAAGTATGGAAAAGAATGTTGTAAGGGAATGTGATGTACAGAGGTAGACTGCAGTGCATTACAGGGCAGAATCTGGCCATAATCTGTTGTATGCTTTCTACCATATGCTGCCTTTTTCTGCACTGAGACTCTTGAAAGGCAGTTTGTTTTTTCATGTTTGAGAGTAAGAGCTTGTCAGTGCCCTTTGTCAGCTGATGATGAGTGTGCACCACAGGCCAAACCTGGCTGTCTCCCAGCCACCCCCCTTTGGGATAATGTGCAACTGTAACTTCTGAGTGATTAAGACATAAAATGACAGTACAGAAGCGATAATTAAATATACCAAGGCTTTTATTTTGTTGTATTTCTGTATCTGTTGTGTCTCTTACAGAGGGAAGCCTTTAAATCCAGAACTGGTGGAGGCTGCTGCAGCGGTTGCATCTTCCCTACCACTCAACAAGCAGCAGACAGAATCAGAACTGCTTGCACAGCTAAGACGACACGAAGAAACCACAGATAGACAGAGAAAGGGAGGAACTATTAACATACGGTCTGTTTATTGAATGTTATTCTCAATAATGTGTGAAATTCTGATTTTACAGTGTCATCTTGAAGGTGGCTGGCTTCTGTGTTGGAAAGATAACCCTCAAAGATACCTTTAGGCAGGTTATCCTTGGAATTCATGAGTAGTGGGAACATCATTGCTTATACCCAACTCCCTGAATTTTGCCATCCTCATTCTGAAATGGTTTTGCAGGAGTGGAATTTTTTGTGCCCAGGATCATTGCTTTTTGGACAGGCCAGCAAAATAACGTTTTTTTTTTAATATTTTTTTTTTTTTTCTCCCAAGTTTCCAAAATCCTCACACAATGGATGGGTTTGTAGACGTTTCAGACGTTCTGTCTGGGCTGGTGAATTTTCCTGACAGCTCTGCTGAACTGAACTGGAGCAGCTCTATTTATAGCCCCACCCTTCCTTTCAAAACTTTCCAGTCAACCCAAGAAACTCATCCCTTGGCTTAACTCCGTTCCCAGTGTGGCTTTCAAACAGATGAGAAACATTTGCTTGGAAACTGAACCAGTTGTGCACACTGCTCTTCTTGGGTGATGGCTGAAGGAAGATTTTTTTCATTCTACTTGTGTTTTTTTTTTTTTCCAGCTAGTTTTCAGATAGCTACTCAGAAAATAAGACATTAAATCCAAGTGAAAAGCTGAACTAAACAGAAGATTGAATTCTCAGCAAAAGAGGAATGTGAAACCTTTATTTATGGCTGTTTGCAGGATGAACTGCAAGCTGGTTATCATCTTAATTTATTCTGTGAAAAGGAGTTTATCCCAAACCAGGATTTAAGTTCAACCCATTATCATATTTGGAGGTTGCTCTAGGGATCAGTAAAGGATCTGCTTTGTATATTTATAGGTGAGCTGCAAACAGAGTAGCCAACAAACTTTTTGTGGCTGATGTTTGCTGCCCTTTGTGCAAGTGAAAACTAAGGAAGAACGTGACAGATTCAGTTAAATGGTTGCAAATAGATTGGGAAGCATAATTCTCAGTGAATAACTTTGCTAAACAAAATTAATCTTCTTCAGAGGCTGGGAAGGGAAAAGGGAGAAGCTGTGAAAGTTTCCCTTTTAGCCTGTATTCACAATTCTTTCTACCAGGAGCACTAATGGTGCTCGTGGAGAGCAGAGTGAAATTCTGTCTGAATGTCTGAAGTCTGTGCTATTTGAAGAGGAATTAGGGTTTTAGGTGGTACATGCAAGTGTCTCTAAAGGCTCTGTTTTGAAAATGTCCTCTCAGCCTGACTACAGGAGCTCTCAAGAACTTGACAGAAGCTTCTCTCTCCCTAAGCTCTTGGAGCCAAAATGAGTAACTTTAAGTGTTAGAGGTCTGCCTGTCTTATGCAAAACTGGTGTGTTTCTGCTTTTTTTTTTGTGTGTGGTTGGTTTTTGTCTGCAGTATTACCAAAACTTAAAGCATACTTCCTTATACCAGATGAATAATTACTATTTTATATTAATCATGTGTTCATTAAACCATTAATTAGCAGTGAGGTTATTCCATCCCTATCACTGGGGTTTTCAGAAGAGCAGAGTACACAAACCTCTTAGTGATGGCTTTGGCTGTGGGTGGCTAACTTAAAGGTAATTAGAGTCCACTTCAGTACCTGCTAAGATGTTGGAGGACCTTAGTGATACTGGCTGAGTAGTGGCTAACCTCATATGCCACTGCATCTGTTCTTTAAAGTATACTTTAAAAAGTGACTTTTTAAAGGTCATTGTCCTCACCACCCACCCACTGCACTTCCCCTGAAGCCCTTCCCCAGCTGTGGCTGCTGTGGAATGAAGAAGGTGTCTAAGGAGGTTGTAGGCTAAGTAAAAAGGGTTTTTTCCTCAATATTTTATAACATGCTTGTAGATGAATCACTATGGTTAGGAAAATGCATTTTCCTCAACCAGAGCCAGCCTTTTTGGTTGATGAGGAATGTCATGGTTGGCTTTCACAGCTAAGACTCTGAGATGAATTTGGTACTTTTGGTTTTCTGTTCAAACTGCTGCTTTGTAAAAGTCCAGCAGAAGGCACTAAAATGCTTTCAATATATTAGAAAGCGATTGCTTTTATTCATACATAACTATTTTGTGTTGATTTTTGTTTGATAGAAAGAGAATTCAGGCAATTTAACTTTTTTTTTTCCAGAAAGGTTTTTGCATTCAACATACTGATACATTTTAAGAGCTAATATATATTCCTTTGTTATTTAAAACTATCTAAAAATGAGATCCCTTCAGGAGAAGTAGAGCCGTAGAATACTCAAGTGCAAAAAAAATTGGGATGCTGCTATTGAGATTTACAAGGGTATTAAATAAATTGCATATTGTCTGGAACTTTTGGTTCCTGCTGTTTTTTTTTCCCCAGGATTGTGGCATTGGCCTCCAGAGGTCACTGTTGTGTGCAGTCGTCTCACTGCTTGTTTTGTAGACAGTGATAGGACAGCGTGTTCACTAGGAAGGGAAAATATTAATGATACAGGAATTTATTTTTCTCAGTGTGGGATGAAGTTTCACTCAGTGGAAATGACAACAGCACTGTACCAAAATAAAATCTGCAGCACTACGAGTTGAAATTTCAGCTCCTGTTTTGGGTGAAGAAGGAGAAAAGTGATTTGAAGCGTAGGCTAAAGTATATCCAAAGGTCCTTGAGTCTTTGTTTTTAGTATTGTAATTATTGATTGGTAATAAGGAAGGAGAGAGAGCCTGTGGCTGTTACAGAAGCTCTACCTCTTCCCATCTGTAAGGCAGAAGTATCTAGGCCTCTAGGTTTTTGTCCTCACGTTGGGACACAAGGCATTGTGTAGCACCTCACCACCACAGGTACACTGGAGTTGGAGTGTGACTTTAACCTGATGCTTTTTGTTACAAAAATCATTGAAAACATCTTTGTAGTTTTATTTTTAGCTAATACAACAGCACTTTTACTGATGGAGTGCTGAATGTGGCTGCCAGAAACGTTGATATCCCAAGGATGGGGTGACGTTAGGACTTCCCAGTGAGAAACATGGTGCCTTGGGCTGTGTGTTCCGATAGCTGGGGAGCCTCGTCTGCCCAGACCTGCTGTGCAGAGAAATCCAAGTCAGCTGTGAGGAGAGCTGCTCGGAGCAAGCTTGGCCCCCCTGAAGCATGGGAACATGCTGGCAGCTGAGTCAGGCAGTTGGGCAGGGCCCTGTGTCACTGACCTTGGGAGTCACGTCCCCTTGACCCAGGCATCTGGCCCAGCACCAGCTCACTGATGCCAGCAGTGGAGGGATTTCTAGGGTCAGAGATGCAACGAATCTGAGGTGTTTTTTTTCTTTTAAGATTTAAATGAAGTTATTTAAAACTTGTTCTCATATGCCTGCCTTTCAGAGTAGGTACTTGGAGAGCTATGTTGTTCTTGCTCTACCATTGGAAACCACATCTAAGACCAAAGAGAGATCCTACTGTGTTGCTGTGGCAATTAGCTTTTAACATTTTCCAAAAGTAATTTTGTTTTTTCCTCGTCAGTAAAATCTCTTTGGACTTAAGCTGCCAAAAACATAGTTTGAATTTCATTCAGATTCTCATAAAACGGACGTGCAGTATTTTCAACTTGGCCTGGTTTTATTTTTTGAGACCATATTTATGTCCTAAAAGTTGAGTGCTGTGATTTTGGACGACTGCCTGTTACGGGAAACGGTTGGGTGGAGAGAACCGCTGTGAGGAGGAATTACCAGCTTGGTCTTTACCAACCAACAGAGTTACCAGTTCAGGGGACTAATGGGCAGGGGCAGAAAGGTTTTTGTGTTTTGCCCTTTGTGCTCAGAATGAGCTGCAGACAGCACTGGAAGAGATCAGAGCATTTGCTCTTCACATATGATTTTTGACTACAGAATTACGAAGGAAGATGTGGCCTGTTAATGCTGTAATATGATTATGCAATGCAACAGATTGCAGTGGATCAAGAAAGGTGACCTACTTATTCGGGTGACATGATTGACCCGTGTCAGCTGATGTGTGTGAAGGCAAGCTCCCTCTGGCTCTGCAGCAGCACAGCTCTGTCCCTGGGCACTGTTGGTTCCCATCCAAAACCTGGCGATTTTTACCTCGCTGTTTCAGCATATTCGTTGTATGCAGAGAAATTCCTCATTTCCTTAAGCAAAACATACCTAGCATGCTCTGTGAATATTGGTATCCAGATATATGACATTTTTCTTTCTGTTAGAAAAGCATTCGTTGTAGATTCAGTAGGCTAAAGTAGCATTTTTCATTTAATCTATATAGAATGTGACAACTGAGCTGGTTTAAAAAGTAAAACTTGGATGTTTGACTTAAAAATAGGTGTATTTTGTGAGGAACTTGTAATTCTGTCTCACAGAGGCTTATGAACCCAATTGAGGGTAGAGTTTCTAGTTAATACTGATAACAAACTTCCTTGCTTTGTTGATGTGTTGAGTTTTTACATGGATATTTTTGATTTCAGCAATGTTCTTTCAGAAATGGCAGTTAAAAGGCAGTCCCCAGCTCAGAGAGGCGTGAGGGTATCCAATCGTATTTCCTTGGAGTTGGATGAGGATGGTCAAAGAATCAAGCCTGAAAGATTGTCACCTCAGTCTTTTGACTCCAGAAGGTATTTTTGTTGTGTTCCCTTCCAACAGGAGCGTGTGATCAACTACTAAAGGATATTTTAAATTTATTTGTGCATATTCATGTTACCGTGGTACTTCAGAGCTTAGAAAAATTACTTAATTTCAAGAAAAGTACTGTTAGTGTTGCAATAAACTTCTGTGAGAATACCCTGGTTAATATTAACCATCTAATCAAATGATGTGCACTTTATATATCAAATTTTAGACGATCAAAAATACGTGGTGCTGAAGTGTAACTGTATTTGTTTTAACTAGTTTAAATTATTCTCACCCATAATACAGTTTTATATCACTTTCTTTTTGGGAGGTGAAGGCTTTGAAAGCTTGCTTTCATCTAATGGAAAACTTTTGATACATGTTCTATGTTTATAAAAGTTTCATTCTGTTGGTGTTTTAAAGAAATTGTAAAGTTTTGGGGTTTTTTTAAATTTTTTTGCCACCTGATTGCAGCTGATAAGTCATCCTCTAATTGATTTCTCTATTGTCTGTGACACTGTGAAGGGAACTTTATCATTTATATGGTGATTTTATGGAGCTCCTTAAATTCATCTTGCTGCTGATTTATGTGGTCAGCTTGTTTCTTAATGTATTAAGGAGTGCTCTTAAATTTTTGTTTTACTCCTGTAAGCTATGCTTTCTTCCCTGCAGTCTTTTGCTTTTCTCTGTGGCAGCTCATTGTTGCATCCCTTCTCAGTATGTTCTTTCCTTGGCAGTTCTGTTTTTAGTGAGATTAACTTCTCTAATCATAGATGTATTTTGCAAATTAATCCCCAGTTCTTGGGGCTGGGGGCTGGAAGTTGAGCGAGTCGTTTCTGTTTAGATAGATAGTGCTGAAAGCAGAATTTTTATAAGGAGAAAAAAAAAAAAGCATAAGTTTATGGGTGAGTGGATGTACAACATTCTGCTGTCTTTGGATGGGACATCTATTTCCATATCTCATGGACAGAGAGCTGTGATTTCCTGTAAGGAACAAACTGGAGCATGCACATGGAGCCGTGTAGATCATGTGAAAACCTCAAAGGAGTGGCTGATAGCCAGTCATTAAAAGAACTGAACCTGCTTGCAGAAATATTTCTGAGTAACTTCCTTGTTCTTCAGCTACCAAACTGTTAAGGTGTGTTAGGGAGGTGTCTCTTGGGCCTCCTCAACGTGCTGAGGCCAGCATGGAGTGTTTTCCTGATCAGAGCTCGTGGAAAGGGCAAGAGGGGCTTCTTGTAATGGAAGCTGAAGGGAGGGAGTGGAACAAGGCCCTTAACCAAGCCCTCCTGACTTAGATATTTCTGTCCTGGGGTTTTCCTTCAGCTATAAGCTGCCAGTTTGAGGAGCAAGGGAACTAAGTGACTTCATTATCAGCTGCTGAATAGCTCTCTCTATATTGTTAATAAGGGGATAATTCTCAGACTGAGCTGGTAGTCACATGAAAGCAATTTTTACATTACACTATGATTCTTGGCTGACTGTGAGAAAAAGTTAATTTAAGGTGTTGGATTAAAAGTTTTTCAAAGTTTGAAAGAATAGAAATAATATGATCTAGAAGTGTAAACTGAAAATCTGAGCTTGTACAGTGTGGGTTATTTTATATCTGTACTAAACTTTTATTAACATACTGCAAAGTGAATTTCACTTGTGTTTGAGAACATTTATTCTATTTATTATATCTCAGAAGCTGTCTTCCCCTTTGTGATGAAACTGTACTTGGTATATAACTTCAGGAACAGTACCTTGAAATAGTTTTTTAAATCCCTGTGATAAGCTGACTTTCTCCATTTTCAGTCCTAAGTTTCCTCTTGCATCCCTGAAGATCTAAAGGGTGTAATTATCTGTTGATAATATGAAAAGAATGGCTTAAGAAGAATATTTAAGTTTAAATTGAGTTAGTAGATCTCAATAATGAGTGATGTTACTTTACAGTAATTTGGACTAGTAATTTAAAAAGAAATGTTCTTCCAAGTCATGCTTGTATCTTCAGCCAGTGTTACTGGGAGTTACACACAGATAGGAAAATATAATCCTAAATCAACATTCTTTTAAGGCTCTGTAATTAGAGTGCTCTGTGCTGGACTAGATCCAGGGTGGTTACATCAGTAAAATGCAACATGACAAGAGCAGGTTTGCAGAAGGAGTTGTGGCCATCAGAAATCTGCAGTAAATCCAGAGAGGTGGAATTCCAAGGTCAGGAAGGGCAGATATTGTCAGGGGAAGAGTGAAGAGGTGATAACATGAAGTAGGAACTATAAGAATTTCAGTGGAAACCTGGAAGATTGTACAATGAGAAGATTGATTTGTTCTAAAGTTCAGTGTATTCTGGAGTATAGGCACTGTTGTTTCTTTGTTTCCATTTATAAGAAAACTTAATTTGATGACTTGTTGAACTCTTGGATTTTTAATTTATTTTTTTTTTTAGTATAGGCTTATGCTAAAGGTAAATATTAAAAATAGATGGT